ATGAAATTCTGCCATTCACAACAACATGAACAAGCTTGGAGAAGATTATGTTAAGTGAAGTAAGCCAGACACAGAAAGAGAAATACCTCATGTCCTCACTTACAAGTTGGAACTGAAAAATAAATAAATTAAAAAGAAATAAAGAGAGAAGGAAAGAAGGAAGGAAGGGAGGGAGGGAGGGAGGGCTCACTCGGGTGAGCGTGGTGCTGACAACACCAAGTCAAGGGTTAGGATTCCCTTACCAGTCATCTTTTTTTAAGAATTTTGAAAAATTTTTTTAAATTATCTTTATGGGAGGGAGGGAGGGAGGAGAAGAAAGAAAATGAACAATTACAATAATACTTGGAGCTTTCAAAAGGAGTGAACAGAACTGTGGTATTAGAGGTGGGAATGGGGGTGAGGGGAGTAGCAAGCAATTGGGTAAGAGTCACAAAGAATGCTTACCTTTCATAAGGATAAGTATGCTAATTATCCTGATCTGATCACATATTGTACACAGATATTGATATTCAACTCTGTAGCCTACAAATATATATAATCAATTTTGTTTCAATAAAAAATTTTTCATTTCTTTGTTTTCAACTTAATTAGTTTCTGCTCTTCCATCATTATTTTCTTCCCTCATCTTCCTTTGTTAGATGCTTTTGTAGATTTTCTAATCTTCTAAAGTCAGATACTTAAATTGCAAATTTTTTGTCTTTATTATTTTTTAATTTAAGCAATTACAGCTATAATCTTACTAGTAAGTATTGATCTAACCACACTTCACATGTTTTCATATTTAACCTTTTCATAATTATTAAATTTTAAACTTTTTAAAAATTCCATTGTTATTTATTCTAGAACAATGAGTTATTTAAATGTTTTTGTTACTGACCATAAATTCTTAAGCTATATATTTTTTTTTTTTGGTGTATAAATTTACTACATTTTAATCAGAATATGTAGTATGTATGGTATTGTTTTTAATCATGGTATTTAATGAGGCTTATTGTATTTACACTACATGGTCCATTTTTGTAGTGGATTGTTGTGTAGTTATTATATGCAGAGTTCTACATATGTCATTAGGCTCAGCTTTTAAATTTTGTTAGTCAGATTTTCTGTGTCCTTATTATATTTTCATCTGCTTGATTTCTTCATCACTGCAAAATATGAGTAAACATTTTCTATCACAATGTGGACTATTCATTTTCTGTTCAATTATGTAAATTTTGGCTTTGTATATTAAGACTATGTTGTTAGATGCATGCATGATTAGAATCGTTATTTCTTCTTGGTATTTTGTTTTATTTATTAATGTATATTCTAATCATCTTTATCACTAATAATTATTTTTATTTGTTATAAGCTTATTATATCTGATGTTAATATTGGTATGCCAGCTTTCCTATGAATTATCATTTTCCTAATTTTATATATACTCATACATATAAATATTTTAATTTATAAATCATATTCTTTCTTTTAATTTATTTATTAATATTATTACTTTTTACATTTTAAGACATTGCAGAGCAGTTGGGGGGGAGGCAGGGAGAGAAAGGAAGAAGGAAATAGGGTGTGAGGAGGAGGAAGGAGGGAGGACAGAGTCAAGGCCCATGGCATTCCCCTCATCCTGGTAGGGGAGACCAGGGGGCCTCCATCAGCAGCTTGGTCATTGCTGGACTGGATGCAGATGTCAAAGGGGTGTGGCTGAAGCCCTCAGCCCCTCACCACCCCAGCTTGGGAGCCCAGGGTGTTTCCAGTGGCAGCTAGGTGTTCATTGTTGGGCTGGTTGCAGATGTCGGGGGGGCATGGCTAAGGCTCTTAGCCCCCCACCTTCCCAACTCAGGAGCCTGGAGAACTTCCAGCAGCAGCCTGGTGGTCGTGGCTGGGCTAGGTGGAGCTGTCAGAGGGGCTTGGCTGAGGCCCACAGCCCTCCTTTCTCCTCAGCTTGGGAACCAGGGGGCTTCCAGTCCTTCTAGGTTTTACAGGTGTTCTTTGGGTGTGTTGAACCTTTACCAGTTAATACCAAATTTTGTCTCTGATCTGTGGGTATTTTGTTTTTTCTTTCTGTTCTGTGTTGGATTCTTTGCTGTTTCCACCACTTAAACTCTGCACTGGAACTAATTTGTGTCCTTCGTTTACTTCTAAAATGGGGAAACTTCGCAAAGGAACCAGCACTTGAGCCCTGTGGTTGAGCTGAATTGCTGCTTTGCTGTGAATTCTCTAGGGAAGGCTTTTTGTGCAGCTCAGGTTTTAATTGTTGACTTCATAAGCACTTCTGGGTCTCATGAGGTCTGGTACACCTGGATTATGTGGAAACTCTGGTCTGGGCCTGGGTTTAGCAAACTGTATCCCCTGCAGTTCTATATTCCTGACCATCTACACTGAATGGTCCTGCACTGATTGGAGGGCAGATCAGCTGTCCATGCTATGCCCCGGCGTTCCCCCAGTGGCCTGTCTTCCTATCACCTGCACTCCAAACACTTCCCATAGGACAGGCCATGCACCAGTCCATTAAGATGACTCACCAGACTCTTAATGGCTCCTTTTCTCAGTAGTCTGTGGCTCCTCCCTCCTATGTGGGTCCACGTGAACCCTGTTAGTGGTCTTGCTGGCCTGGGGGCCACCAAGGCCCTCTTCTCCCCTGCCACCCCAAAGCAACTTCATACAAAGGGCACAGCTGTGGCTTTTGCCAGCTCTTGCTTCATGTGCTCACCACCTCCAGCCTTAAAGCAGCCATGGCTCCAAATGGTGGGAGTGATCCTTTCTTTCTCTCATCATGGCTTCTCTTGCCTTCATGCACACCATAGGTCTCTCTTATTTCCCTGAAACCTCCAGCCTTAAAGCAGCCATGGCTCCAAATGGTGGGAGTGATCCTTTCTTTCTCTCATCGTGGCTTCTCTTGCCTTCATGCACACCATAGGTCTCTCTTATTTCCCTGAGCTCTAATGGCCCCAGCTGGGCTGTCATTGCTTTTTAATATTTGTAAATTGGTAGACTTGTGGGAGAGGGTGACACTGGGGACCATCTTGGCTGGAAGCCCCATGACATTCTTTTTTATGAATCTTTTCCTACAGTTATATTTACATGTGTCATTTATATATAGCATAGGGACAGATATTTTCTCCAATAGAAAATCCTTGGGTTGTTAATTGAAAAGTTTAGTCTATTTACATTTATTTTGATTGCTGATGTGGGTGGATTTACTTTTTCTTTGCTGTGCTATGTTCTATATTTAGCTATGTTTTTCATTGCTACTCTATTAGCTTTTCAAGTTTCTTCTTGATTGAAATTTATGCATTTTCTTTTCTCGTATTATTTTTGGAAACCATATTTTTTATATTTGCTCCTGGATAACCTAATTCTTTAACAAGAACACTTGCCTCAATAATTTATGATACTATTCTGCTTACCCTTTTCCCAAATATAAACTATCTTAGAACATTTTAATTCCAGTCACTCCTCTCATCTTATAAGTTACTATTGTCTAGTGCAGGAGTTAGCAAACTATCTGTAAGGACCAAAGAGTAAATATTTTTGGCTTTATGTTGCAACTGCTCAAATCTACAGCTATGAAAGCTTCCATGGGCAATATGTAAACACACAGGTAGGACTGTGCTCCGGTAAAATCTTATTCACAAAAATAGGCAGCAGTCTGGATTTGGCTTACAAGTTGTAGGGTGCCAACCCTGGCCTAGTGTACTATTTAAATATGGCTTTTTTTTGTCTTTTTTGTGACCGGTAAGGGGATCGCAAACCTTGGTGTGGTGTCGCCTGCACCGTGCTCAGCCAGTGAGCGCACTGGCCATTCCTATATAGGATCCGAACCCGCGGCGGGAGCGTCTCTGTGCTCCCAGCACCGCACTCTCCCGAGTGCACCACGGGGCCGGCCCTAAATATGTTTTTAAATGTCCTCAAAATAAACATAACACAACCATTGATTCTTCTAACCAATACTTATTCAGATCTACCTGCTTAAATCTGAATTTAAGAGGGGGAGGCAGAGGTTGGCGTTGTTCCTTTCTTCTGGATTCACTTTATTTATTCCTAAAGTATAACTTATACTAGTTCTCTTATAACAAAAAGGTGAACTCGTAGAA